GAGGATATGCTTGATTTTGATCGAGAATTTGATCGAGAATGAGTTACTTTTATAGAAGATATGTTAGATTTTGATCAAGAAATGGTCATCTTTTTCCTTCCAACAAGTGGGTTTTCTTTGGTGCTACCAACTAGGAAGGGACTATACAAGCATATACTTTTAACTTTCTTTAAAAGTCTCTATCTTGTCGAGAATTTTGATTAAGCAAATGTGAGGTTGTATCGTAGAATCTATATTTCACTTTCAAAATTTTCTATACGGGATTATAAAGTTATCACTCGAAAGATGCATAATCATAGAAGGGAACAAAAAATAAAGTCAAGACATAATAGGATATATAAATTCTCTAAGTAATGGAAAGAAACTCTATGAAAATTGAAGTAGGTTTTGTTTTAGTAATTGTTAAAGTTAAATTTACGGACATTAAAGTAAGAGATAGTGTATTCGAACCCTTGTAATGTCGTTTCACCTTAAACTACAACAATAAAGAACCAAAATGAAGAAGTGAAAGATACCTAACGAACCTTACAAAAAAGAATAAAAGAACTATAAAACGAGCCTACACAAAGAAACCTTGCAAAAATGGGTTCGAGAATAAAGACCACTACCCTAGCTCCAAAGGGCATCCAACTTCACCTTTTCAAAAATGATTATCCTATTTCTTTTAAGAGTTATATGTTCTAACAAAAACGAAAAGGAACACCATATTAAGGATCGTTTCTTCCTCATCTTACAACTAGGGGAGTTTGTAGATTGAGTTGGGTTGGATTGATACATTCTTTAGACTCAATCTAATTGTTCGGGTTGTAATTTTTTTACCCATACAACTCTTATTAAATAATGAACCCAACGTAACCTAACTATAAACTTTTGGATTGGATTTTTTCGGATTGTTTGAATCATTTATTTAAATTTTATTTTAATAAAAGTAAGATGTTAGTTCGTAAAACATCTATCTATTTATTTTCAAATATTTAATTAAAAGTTGTAACTCAATTTTGAAAAATTATCTTCCAAATAGTTATAAATTATTTTAAAGAGTTGTACAAGAATAAATAATAATAAAAAAAAATTATGAAATTAAACTACGCATATATGTACATTTTAAATTTATTAAAAAATTTGAATCAATTTGGTCCAACCAATATAATTTAAACCCAACTCAACTCAAATAAGTTTAAAGTCCAACACAAATCGTATGGATTGGGTTGGCCAGTTGATCGAATTTTTTTGGATCATCGAGATTTTTGGACACCCCTGATCTTTCTAACCCAACTCAACCATATGTATACTCGTAATGGAGGATTTATGTTCAAAGTGAACAATATCAAACTACTTTGATATAAAGAGATGTATGGAGCTAGTTTTCATTGTGTTATAAAGACAATATCTGCTACCAATAGGTCTGGGCGGTTAAAATGGTATCAGAGCCAAATATGGGAGGTGAGTGCCATCAAAGACGTTGAGCCTCCAAAAGGGTGGATTGTAAGATCCACACGAGTTAGAGAAGGAAATGAAAGGGAGTGGATTGTGAGATCCACACAGGTTAGAGAAGGGAATAAGGAAATGAAACATTATAATAAGAGTGTGAAAACCTCTCCCGATTTGAAGAAAAGCCCAGAAACAAAGGTGTGAAAACCTCTCTCGATTTGAAAAGCCCGGAAATAAAAGCCAATATCTGCTAGAAACGCATGCCCAAATTAGAAACAAAATCCCAAAAATTTCCACTTTGAAAATTGTTGTGTTAGATGACATAATGAATAGATGAACCCAAAGCCCTTGGGAGGAAAATGGATGGACAAGATGACAGAATCCACCAATCTTATCCCCAAAAATTCCAAGCACCCAATGCCTCTGATTTTGCCCAGGAAAAAAGTCCCAAGAGAATAACGCAAAAGAGGAGAAACAAACACACACAGAGATGGCAACATCCTTCCTATCAACAGCGAACACGTTCCATTCTTCCACACCTTCTTCTTCTTCTTCTTCTTCTTCTTCTTCCTCTTCTTCACCTCCATTGTTGAGATCAAGATTTTCTTGCCTTAATTACCGTAATAACGCTAGAAGACTGGTAATCTGCAAGGGAAATAACGACCCACCATCGCAAATCCCAACTTTAACCAAGAGAAGCCTCTCAATCTGCTTCATTTCCAGTTTCATTTTCCCTCTGGTGGGTCAAGGATTCTCCGATGCAAATGCTGCGATTCTTGAAGCCGATGATGATGAAGAGCTTCTGGAAAAGGTGAAGAAGGATAGAAAGAAGAGGCTGGAAAGACAAGGGGTTATCAGCTCCGCCAATAAAGAAAAAGGTTTTGTATGCACTCTTTGTGTTTGTGTTTAGTTCTCTGTGAAACTTCCAACTTCAGAATTTGATCCCATTACTGAATACTTTGACTGATTGGTTGTGTTTGTATACTAGAGTTCTTAAGCCAAGTATATGTTTGTAATGTGGGGTTCCTTATGTCCTGGCTGTAGGTTTGCTAATCCTATGGGATACATAAATCCAAGTTCTTCAAGCTATGTAGTTACTTTTGCAAACTACAAACCCACAAGTCAAAACTCACCCATATAAATTTAGGTTTCCATAACTCAATCCTTCTTAGAATAATCCATTTAACGGTTGAAGCCCGCCGCTAGCAGATATTGTCCTTTTTTAGCTTTTCCGTCTAGGCTTCCTCTCGAGGTTTTTAAAGTGTGTCTGCTATGGAGAGGTTTTCATACCTTTATAAAGAATGCTTCGTTTTCCTCCCCAACCGATGTGGGATCTCGCAATCCACTCCCTTTAGAGCCCAACGTCCTTGTTGGCACACTGCCTCGTGTGCACCCCCCTTTGGGGCTTAGCCTCCTCATTGGCACATCGCCCAGTGTCTGGTTTTGATACCATTTGTAACGGTCCAAGCCCACGACTAGAAGATATTGTCCTCTTTGGGCTTCTCCTCAAAGTTTTTAAAGCGCGTTTGCTAGGGAGAGGTTTTCACACCCTTACAAAGAATGCTTCGTTCCCCTCCCCAACCAATGTGGGATCTCACAATCCACCCCCCTTTGGGGCTTAACGTCCTTGTTGGCACATCGCCTCGTGTCCACCCCCCTTTGGAGCTCAACCTCCTTGTTGGTACATCATCCGATGTCTAGCTCTAATACCATTTGTAACGACCCAAGCCCACCACTAGCAGATATTGTTCGCTTTGGGCTTTTCCTTCTGGGCTTCCCCTCAAGGTTTTTAAAACGCGTCTTAGGGAGAAGTTTCTACACCCTTATAAAGAATGCTTCGTTCTCCTCCCCAACTGACGTGGCATCTCACAATCCAAATGCAGGCTATAAAGCTTTTCAACCTCAAATGTAGGCTATAAAGCTTTTCAACCTCATTTGAAGCAAAGCTATACTTAATAAAACAGAGTCTGGTCTAGGTTTTTGAAATCATGAGGCTTAATTCTTCATGGGAGTGGATCATAGAGTTTATCATAAGCTAGCAGAGTTGAGCTATGAGAAAGGGCCTCGACAACAAAAGCTGAAACGTTGCCATAATCACTCGGAATTTTGCAGGATACCTCCAGGAAGTTGTGTACAAGCTAAGCAAAGTTGGTCAAGCCATTGATAACAATGACTTCTCAACAGCAAGTTCAGTTCTTGGGGGTAGTAATGATGCAGATTGGGTTCGGAATGCCAACTTAGCCTTCAACAAGGTTAGCAAAATAGATTGAACATTTCATGAGAAGTGAAATGATTCTTCGAGGAATTTCTAACTTTGTTGTGTAATTTCTTGAGCAGCTGAGCTCAAGTCCTGAAGAGAAATCTGAAGTGGACGCATTCAACTCCTCTCTAGCTTCATTAATCTCATCAGGTGGTTAAAACAGGGTAAAACTACTAAGAACTGAAAGGTTTAACCCTCCACAGAGTTCTAAACAATATAACATTTTTGCATTGCAGTGACTCAGAATGATGTCCAATCCTCTAAAACTGCCTTTGTAGCATTAGCCAGTGCACTTGAGAAATGGACCGCCTTGGCAGGGCTTGTTGGACAGCTGAAGGGGCTTTGAGTGGAAAACAACCATCTCTACTGATCTCATTTCTACTGTATTTTTAGTCTCCTCACCTCCTAAATCATTGCAGTTTAAGGTCAAGAAGCTGATTTTTCTTGTCATCTTCTTACTGAGTTTCTGGTGTCAATGTTACTGAACTTCGAATGGATAGATTCCATTGGTTAATATGAATGTTATTGTTGGTTTATCCAAGAAAACCTACACATTTGTTTATGAACAAAGCAGAGTATCAGTTCAGTTAGGATTCCCCAAAACACTGGCAAAATGGTGATTGACAAGAATTAGGAGTTCAAGAACATCCAACAGATTTTTTTTTTTTCCTTGTTGTTCATGGAGCTCTTGATGGTATGAATCCTCTTGGATTTAGGTAATTTCACCATTCTAGTAAAAACGGATGGTATTGATTTGGAGTTTTTTGAATTTGGGTTGTTACAAATGGTATCAGAACCAGACATCGGGCGGTGTGCTAGCGAGATGTTGGGTCCACAAGAGAGGTGGATCGTGAGATCTTACATCGATTGGAAAGGGAAACAAAACATTCATTATGTGTGGAAACCTCTCTCTAACAGATGCGTTTTAAAACTGTGAGGCTGACGGCGATACGTAACGGGATAAAGCGGACAATATCTACTAACAGTGAGGATTACACTGTTACAAATAGTATTAGAGTTAACACTAAGTGGTGTGGCAGCGAGGACACTGAGCCTACAAGGGAGGTGAATTGTGAGATTCTACATTGGTTGAATTGGAGAGGAGAACAAAACATTCTTTATGTGTAGAAACCTCTCTCTAACAGACACGTTTTAAAATTATGAAGCTGACGATGATACATAACGGCCAACGGGCTAAATCTCATTTAAAAATGAAGAGGCATACAAAAAGACAACCTACCAAAGAGTTAAGGGGCTCCAAAAGGATCAAACAGAAGGATCCTTACAACTTTAGTACAACTAAACCATATGAATCAAACAAGGATTCAACTAAATCAGTATGGATAGAACTCTACCTTACAAAGGTTTACAAATACAAGATCATAGTACAAGCATATTACACTTAAATGTTACAGAGGTCATTACAAGCTACAATCTTATTCAGTACAAATGAACAACAAGCGATGGAACATAATAACCCTAATCTATTGCTTGTATGGATGGATGGATGTTTCTGTCAATAATTAGATTACTACAATTAACCACATCCGAATTACAGACCTACCCAGCAATCTGAATCTGTTGGAAAGACAAATGAAGGAGCCATAGCCAGAAACGTGATATCATCTTCAAGGCTTTACCTCACCAGCATCATTCCTGTGGCTACCATTTTCAGTGGCTTCTATGCTCTTGTTTGTCTCAGTATGTTTCTCATTCTTCTCTTCAGTTGCAGCTGCTTTGTCCTTGATTTCTCCTTCTAGTTCAATATCCTGTTCACAAGGTTTTTGATTCTCTTGTTCCTTTTCTTGTCTATCAGATAGAAGAGTGTCAGGTTTGACAGTTTCACCCAAAGTACTATCATTCTTCTCCTCAACTTGTGGTTGCTCGATCTTTTCGTCATGCTTTGCTCCTTCCAGATTCTCATTGAGGTTTAGTTTTGAGCTTTCGGGTTCCTTCTCATTGAGGTTTCTTTCCAATTTTTCTTGTTCGGATTCACTAGTTATCTTATGTTCTTGTTTTTCAGCATCATTATCTGCATTCAACTGGTCATCAGGTTTCGGTGGCTCTGCTTCGGCAGCTTCATCTTTCGTTTCCTTCTCGTCTTGATTTTCCTTCTTATCAGCATCCTTTATATCAGCATCATTATCTGCATTCAACTGGTCGTCGGGCTTTGGTGGATCTGCTTCGGCAGCTTCATCTTTCGTTTCGTTCTTATCATCATCCTTTACCTCAGCATCAGCTATGGTCTCATCTTTTCCAGCATCTTGGTTGTCAACTTCTTTCTTCTCCTCCCGAACTTCTGCTGGTTCAGTTTCTATTTCTTTAAGACCTTTCTTGGACACCGAAGTTCTTTTTCTCTTTGGGTGCTCACTCTCCATTGGTGAAATCACTTTAGCCTTTTCACTTATCCTTGCTGACCTCCTCGGCGTCTCACCCGTGCCCCAATCAAATTCAGCTGATGCTGGGCCACCAGGGTGTGACTTCAGGTACTGATCCAACTTTCTTTTGTTGCTGAACTCCTCGCCTGTCGGAGTTATGAAGATGACTTCATATTTCTTAGGGGAATTACCTTGCTTAGGGAAGAACTGCCAAATATTCATACCGTTCAATCAGTTGCAACCAATAAACCAGCAACCCATACATACATACACACACATATATATTGTTATCAATATAAGATATTAGAAGTTAAATAATTGTGTAAATATAATGGTTAAGGTGGACCTCATAGGTAGGTTAGGTTAGTACTTGATAATATAGATTTATAAGTTCTCCATTGAAAGAACGAGGGAAAGAATGAGTTAAGGACAGTCAATAAATTAAATGTTCACACCTTTATGAGGAATGTTTTGTTCTTCTCTACACCTTTATAAGGAATGTTTTGTTCTTCTCTCCAACTGATGTGGGATTTCAGAATCCACCCCCATTGGGAGCCCAGCATCCTCGCTGGCACACCGTTCAGTGTCTGCCTCTGATAGCATTTATAACATCCCAGCCCACAGCTAGTAGATATTGTCTGCTTTGGCTCATTACGTATCACCGTCAGCCTCACAGTTTTAAAACACGTTTGTTAGAGAGAGGTTTCCACACCTTTATAAGGAAAACTTCGTTCTCTTCTCCACCCGACGTGGGATCTCACAAAGAACTTGTATTGGATTTTAGTATATCTTGCTGCTAGCTTTTTGAAGTTGGAGATCTAGATAAGGGCATAAGGATTTATTCAAGGGTAAGGGAAGGAAATCACCACATTTATAATATGTTGTAGAGCAAAGCCTACCACCATGCTTTTGTTCACTCCCTGAACCAAGACTCTTGTTCCTATGCCTAATTGGTAGCCCGTTGTGAAGAAAGAACGAGCCCCAAAGGTGTTCTCTTGGATTAGCTTCCAGCAAGAGTGACCTTTCATCGGACCAAAACAGATTTATAGCTGCGACCAACCTTTGTTGATTAAACCAATTTCGGATTCCGCATAGGCACTCTTGACACAATATCAAGCAACTGCATCACCTTCCACACATAACTCTTACCTTTCCAAGTTCCAACTTCTTCTTCGTCAAGTCATTTGACAAGTATCATTCAACTCAACGTAACCAACCATCATGATCTATTACATTAAATATGCATTCCATCCACTCTTGAATTCAAGCTTTTGGTATCGATCCCATTTGACTCTCTCGGACTATTCCAATTGACCCATCATTCATCCTAGGAGATTATACCCCCATCGGCTCTCAGTGGGTGTTTCCCTTTCCATCGGTGCTCGAGCATTCCTCTTTTTTTCCTTAAAAAGAGTTCCCATAAGTACATCATAATCTCTATACTTCCCCGGTGATCATGAAATTTCCTTTAAACCCGCATCATCTCTAGCTCGGGTGATTTCGGCCCTCAGTTCACCATTTTCTCCATAGCATCTAGTGAAGATTTCATGTTTGAATTTGATTTCAATTTTGAACTAGTCTGGAACCATCATGATAAAGGCATTTATTGTTTCTAGAAGAATATGTAAGGTAAGAGTACAAAAGAGAAGGCTGGTCCAAAGATCGTTGACCCGACCTCCTACCACAACTCTCCATGTAGTAACACACTCAAACTGGCTTCCCTCTACCTTCCCAAATATATTTAGTTATCAACCAATTCCTAATTTATGCCCTTGACCAACTATAACATACTTCCAAATCCTGTTGCTGAAATTCACTCCCGTCACCTTGCCAATGTCTTCCTCTTTTTTCCACAAGTGTTAAAGTTTTTCCAGAAGTAAGAAACTTATTAGATCACATGGATAATTTGTTATTGTAAGAGCCCAAGCTCACTACTAGCATATATTGTCCACTTAGGCCCGTTACGTGTCACCGTTAGCCTCACAATTTTAAAATGTGTTTGTTAGGTTGATATTTCCACACCCTTATAAGAAATGGTCCGTTCTCCTCTCCAATCGATGTGGGATTGTATCCACCCCTTGGGGGCCTAGCATCCTTGCTGACACACCGCTCGGTGTCTTGACTTTTATACCATTTGTAGCAGTCCAAGCCCACCGCTAGCAGATATTGTCCGCTTTGGCCTGTTACGTATCGCCATCAGCCTCATGATTTTAAGATGCGTATGTTAGGGAGAGGTTTCCACACCTTTATAATTAATGCTTCGTTCTCCTTTCCAACCGATGTGGGATCTCACAATCCACCCCCTTGGGGGCCTAGCGTCCTTGCTGGCACACCCCTTGGTGTTTGGCTCTTATACCATTTGTAGCAGCCCAAACTCACCGCTAGCAGATATAGTCCGTTTGACCCATTACATATCGCCATCAGCTTAACGATTTTAAAACATGTTTGTTAGGAAGAGGTTTCCACGCCCTTATAAAAAATATTTCGTTTTTCTCTCCAACCGATATGGGATCTCACAGTTATTTGGATGATACTAATCAAAATGACAGGAAATTTTCTATACTGACCACTGCAAATATACAGTTCTAATTACTTGATAAAGCAATGGAATCTGGTTTAGCCACCGAAACTCCACATCTCACTCTTTCCCTTTTTTCTCGTCTTTAATGCATAATCCCTCTCAAATACTACTTTCTTCCATAATAGAAACCAACATCTGGAGCTGCCCAAAAGAGAAGCAATTTCATCTATATGCCAAACAATTGAGTTTGGTAATAGCAAGAAAAGAGACATACAGAAACAACTATAGACATCCAACATCTCAATATTATACTCAGACATTCCCTTGAACATATCCAATTTTTTCCATTCTGAAAATAAAATCCAACTTCAAATCAACACGTACAAGGCAAGACGCAACCCCCAATAGGATATATATGTAGCATCCGAGATAATTAATCCACTTCTTACTCAAATCACGTGTAAAATTTCTGTGAGAGTTTTGGTTTACATTCTATCTTAGGAACTCTTTGACCTATTCGGTAATCTCCGGATCTACGCTTATTTTCAACTCTCCGAAACATTTCGTCACTTATTACGTCCTCCCTCGTCTCTAGGTGCCTAGGTATCCACCGTAAGCCTTTCTTCGTTTGAACCTCGCCCTCAACTTTAAGACTATGTCATCCTAAGGTGCTGCTAAATGGAAGGATCTTATGGAATGAGTTTATGGAAGGTAGTCAGTTAGATCACTAATAGTCAACTGAAGAGAGAATTTAAATTTGGGGGGTGGAAATCCTATCAAATGGATTTGTGGCTGGTATTTGATCCACAATATCGGCAACTGATTAGATAGGAAATATGCACTCATAAATATACACTTGTGGGGCGGGGGGAATCCATAAAAATTAGAAAAAGAAATTATCAATATGGGAAAGGAAATGACCCATATGATATACAAGATCTCACTCCTCAGATGCTTAAGCAGTGGCAGCCCTGATACTCACCAGATAATGCAACGAACTTTACAAAGCATTATCGCTGAAGGGAACGAAAACTAGTCCAGGACTCAGGTATACAAGCACAACGAAATCACGATATCCAAAATTCAAAAAACGAAGTAAAATGAACACCAGAGACCAACAGTTTGCAAATAATTCTCCAAAAGGGGAATTAAGCAAGAAATTTGATAATTCAACCGTCCAAAAAAGCCCTAGCTACGAAATGAGTGAACTACCACCAAAGAAACCCTAAATTCAGGGGACAACAGAATCTCAGTTGATAATTCGACATTCAGAGCAAAATTGAGTAACAAAAACAGATTGAAACAAAAATTGAAGCTCCAGAAAAAGGAATCGGCTACCTTTTTCTTCCAGCCAGGAGGAGCAGGGAGTTCGACGGACACGATCTCCTCATTCACAGTGTCTTTCTCCACTGATGCCGCCATTTTTCACCTACAGAGAAGGAGCAATGATGAAGAATTTCACTAAAAATAGATCACAACAAGAAATTACTGAAAGAAAAAGGAAGAAAAAAGGTTAGAGAGGAGAGTGGCTTACCTGGGTTTCTGGGTTCTTTCTCAGCTTCTGTTGAACATAACACAAACAGCCGAAGGAAATAGATTTACGGCTAATAGTTTGTCAATGCTTCTTTCTCTCTCTCTCTTCTTTCTCTCTCCTCTGTGAGAGAGAAATTCCAGAATCTCCTGTTGAGCACTTGGAAACATGACGGTGCGCTCTGGATCTGACACCTGTCCAATCCCTTGCTTCTTAAATACTTGGCAAGTTGGCTCATTTTTTCAGTAAAAACAAATTTTTATTTATTATTAAAAACCAGATTACGGTCAACTTAATTGGAGTTAAATAAATTCTCAATTTATATAATAATTTTTAAATTTCTTATAATAACTTTTAAAACCATCTAATAAATTATAAATATATTTCAAATATTTTTAATATATATATATATATATATATTTATATTTACTATATACAAAATTATTGATTTTTTATTATATAACGGGTTGGTATTAGATAACTATCTATTTATAATTTTTTTTAAAACGAAAAAATAATTTTGATTTGGAATTTAAATGTACGGTAAAAAAATGTGAGAGATTTGCCAGAACAGTGTGGAATCATTTCACGTTAATTGGAGAATAGAATGGAATATTCTTTATAAGTGTGTGGAAGCATCTTCCTAACAGACACGTTTTAAAATCGTGAGGCTGACAACAGTACATAACAGTTAGTGTGGACAATATTTACTAGCGGTAGAGTTAGACTGTTAGCCTGAATGAATGTTTTTTAATTAAAAAAAATTAATAATTGAGGTTTGGTTCTGTACTATTAAAGTTTTTTTCTTTTTTTTTTCAGTATTTTAAAATTATAAGTTGTTTATATACTCTCATTTTTAAATGGAATAAGCTTAGTAAGCCCATATAGATTGGCCCAATGCTCTAAAGCCCACCTTGAGGTGGGCTTTTCTCAATATATATATATATATATTATATTTAAAAAAATTTAATATCGTGTTAAAATATTTGAAGATTACGGAATTTTATATGGTCGATCTCAACCAATATATTAAGTAATAACTCGTGTTTAGGAATTAAATTAGAATTCAGAATCTGAATTCGGTATTTAATGGCTCTAGTCGTAACAGTTCATGCCCCACCTCCAGCAGATATTGTTTTCTTTGGGCTTTCTGTAGCTTCCCCTCAACGTTCTTAAAATGCGTATGCTAGGGAGAGGTTTTCGCACCTTCTAAAAAATGCTTAGTTCCCCTTTTCAACCGATGTAAGATCTTATAATCCACCCCCTTCGGGGTCGAGCATCCTTACTAACACACCGTCTGGTGTCCACCCCTCTTCAAGACTCAGCATCCTTTGTTGATACACCACACGTTGTCTGCCTCTAATACTATTTGTAACCGCTTAAGCCGATATTTTAAAAATTAAAAATAAAATGGTTAAGGTTTTATTATGAAATTGATCATAAATTTTAGATACATATGAAATGATTGGAAAATATATGGACCCAATTTTAATGGTATACATATTATTATTCTCTATATTTATTACAATAATTTTTGGCCCTATCCCTACGAATGTAGCCTTGTTGGCTATGTTATTGCTTATATTCTTAGGTAGGTCCAAATCCACATGACAATTATTTTTTAATTTAAACATATTTTTAAAATATTTCTCTTCATTTCAAATAAATTTTATAAGATAATTCTAAAAAACCAACGTTTATAAAAAAAAAAATAATAATAAAATAAAAAATTTAGGAAAATTTCGAAGAAGTCATCCAATATAAAATTACTCTAAGCAAAACACGTTTAATGTTGGAGTTCATATGATTGATCCACCGAAAAATAACAGTAACTTTCAGTTCTTCTAAGTTTCTTAGTCGTCTTATTTTCAGGATCGCTCTCATTTAAATGTGGTCTCTATTGTTAGGATCGATACCAGTTATTAGCTCTGATACCATGTTAGACGAACACGACTCTCCACAATGGTATGATATTGTCCACTTTGAGCATAAGCTCTCATGGCTTTGCTTTAGGCTACCATGCCCTAAATTTAGTCGTGTCAATAGATTGCTAAATCCTCAAATATCGAACAAAGGACTCCAAAAGAAAAGAAGTCAAGCCTTCTCGAAGGCAGTAAAAATGACTAAGACACCAAAGGAGTCGAGCCTCGATTAAAGGGAGGCGCACTTTGTTCGAGGGGAGGTGTTGGATGATGAAAGTCCCACATCGGCTAATCTAGGGAATGATCATGGGTTTATAATCTAGGAATACTCTCCCCATTGTAATGAGGCCTTTTGGGGGAGCTCAAAGCAAAGCCATGAGAGCTTATGCTCAAAGTGGACAATATCATACCACTGTGGAGAGTCGTGTTCGTCTAACAGTCTCGATTCATTCATGTACCACTCATTTACTCGATTGGCCGATTTGGATAATTTGATTTTTATTTATTTATTTATTTATCCATTGATTGGTTGGGAGCAACTTTAAGAGTGTCAAAGATGGTAGCCACAAAAATATATTAAATCATTCAACCATGACCCTCAAATGACCATGTCCACATCTCCCTCCATGTTTTTAGGGATTGTAACGTTAAATCATTCTTTAAAAAAATGTTATTTTTTAAAAAAAAATTCACAATTATATTATATTTTTCCATTAATTTCATTTTCGAAAATTGTAGATCGTAATTGCAGACACGAATAAAAAAACGTCACTTTTAAATAAATTAATTAATTTAAAATGTAACGCTTCAGATGACTCGATATCAGATGACTTTGACATTCTCCTGCATCGTTTGTGACATGATCACGTTACTTACTTGGAAATTCCTAGGAAGCCAACCGACATAGGATTATTTCAAACAAAACATGTTAACTTCGATAGTTTTTACGATTGAGCTATCGAAAAAAATGTGCATTTGTTGGTATAGATAGTAAGTACCAATCCATGATCATTCTCTTCCAAACGTAGTCTCGATTTATTCATATACCCATTTTTTTACTCATGTATCTAAAGAGACGTGTGTACAATTTTAAAAAAATAGAAAAAATAATCCAATGCATTGAAACTCGGTAATATTGAGCATACTTAATTTTTTTTAGACCTAACTCAATTATAAATCTTTTGGGTGGGTTAGTTCAGGTTGTTCTAATCATTTTTTCAGTCTTATATTTATTTTTAAAAATTAATTAAAATTTGTAACTCAATTCCAATATAAAAATCGAGAAATTCGAAAATAAATAATAAAAAATTAAGAAATTAAATTAAAAAAAATAAATATAGGTAAGTATTTTAAAATTAACAACAAATTCAAGTTTGGTCAGTGCAACTCAATCAAGTGGTAGAATAATTCATAAACCAACTCAATCCGTAAAATTTTCATTTATCTGAATCCGACCATCTCAAATAAGTTTATAACTCAACCCGAACCATACAAAATGAATTGGGTTGATCAGATATTTTAGATGATGTTACCGTGGAAGTGAAAATTGGGACACAACTTTCAAGATGATTAATGTGTTAGGTGCAAAATATGCCTCTTTTTGGACCCATTGCATGCTCACTTGCCCCACCTCTCTTTTACCTCATAATGCTCTGTTTTATTGCTTTACCCAATTTATTGGCTCTTTGGGTCAATTGCATTTTATCAACATTCTCCCTTTTTTATGCATATCTAGGTTTTACACACGACCAAATGGACGAACGAAACGTTCCATTCTTAGCTAGTTGAATCTGAGTTTGAAGTTAAGGAACCGAGCTGCTTCTTTAACAATAGCCACAATTATTTTTTTTCCTATTTAGAGATACGGGGCTTTAAGTTCTCGAGAAGAGCAGTTCGGGAGTTGCGCTGCATTTTGATGGGTGTGAATGTTACTGTAATCTAATGTATTTATGATTTGACATTCTCTCTTACCAAGCTCTCGTACTCACTTAGGTTAAGGAGATAGTTTGTGAGTTAATTGGACTTCGAGATTACAAAGACGTGAAAAGAGCTCGTTTTTGTCTTTCTACCTTGACATTTTGTGTCCGATCTTGATTTAGGAAAGGATCTTATCTCTTTCATTGAAACACATTAATGCAAAATGAATCTTTCCGAGAAAGGCTATCATAATTGAAAGCTATTTAGTCTCCTCTTTATTATTTCTAGAAATATATGATAAAATTTAAGTTTAACATTTATTAAAAGTACACTGATTAAATTTGGATATTTAAAAAGTAGAGGGACTAAAACGAAATGAGACATAAAATACAGATACCATCAAGTAAATATGTTTATGAATTTAATAAAATAGTATATGAATGAACCGAGATCACATCTGAATGAGAATATAAATTATAAATAAGAAAAAATTAAAAGAATCGATAGTTACTACCTATGCCAACAAAATATAGTTCGGTAGTTTAATCATAAGAACTTCAAAATTAAGGATGTTTGGTTTGAATCAATCCTATGTTGGACGGTCTCCTGGACTCTTAGAACAACACGGGAATACCTTAATTTCTTTAAATTAATATATATTTTTTTTATATATTCTTGCAATTTTGGGGAAATTAAAAAAAAAATTAAAAAAAAAATTGATATAATGGAAGGGGCTTCATTTTCTTATATTTGTCTTATTGAAGATGACAAGAAAATGAAATTCAATGGACCACCACCAAGAAGGGTAGCTAACTTATCAACTATGGCCCCTCACCAATTTGCTTCGAAATTATAGGGTTAGTTCATCTCGTGTAAACTCGAGCATAACTCGGTTAGTAAAATGTTAAAAAATATTGCACGAGATAAGATAATTTGAATGTGCAGTAACCTAGGAAGGAAATACGAGGTGTTACTCGCTAAACGAAACTCATTGTTGGCTTGAATCTCTTCCGGTTAAACTATAAATTCAGATCTTAAAATTTAATATTTTAAAAAATTCTCGGATCTATTATGTACAAGATTATAGGAATATTAAAAGTACTCAATGATTCGGAAAATTTGATCAACTCAACCCGTACAGACGTATTAGAAATTCTTCATTATTTTGAACGAACATCGAGACCTAGAATCATGTGGTGGTGACCTAAAATAAAAATTTAGATCGGGCCATTCCAAGTCATCGTTACACCATTCTCGGAATAATTTCTAAGGTTCGGAATAATTTTTAAGGTTTTCATAAAATGTGACAGTGTCCTTTGTACTTGTTCTTCAATTTTTGAAGAGATTGAATAGCAAAAGTTCTATTTCAAAATAGTAAACATTTAAAGATCTAAACAGTTCCATGAAATTGTATTAAGATAATGTGTTGTCATTATCAAAATATGCCATTTTACCTAAATATTATCTACTGGCACACCGTCTCATGTCTACTCCTCTTCGGGAAATAGTCTTCTCGCTGGTACAGGGTCCGATATCTAGCTCTGATACCATTTGTAACGGCCCGAGTCTAAGCTCATCGCTAGTAGATATTTTTCTCTTTGAGCTTTCCCTTTCAGTCTTTCCCTCAATGCTTTAAAACGTATCTAAAGGTTTTCACATTATTATAAATGGTGTTTTGTTCTCCTTTCCAACCAACGTGGGACATCACAAAAAATAAATAATCAGAATCATTTAATTTGGTCTAAAAATGTCTCGATCTATAACAGCTCAAGTCCACTGCTAGCAGATATTGTCTATTTTAGCTCGTTACGTATTGTTGTTAGCATCACGATTTTAAAACACGTCCACTAAAGAGATAATTCATTTCTCTCTTCAACCAATGCAGGATCTCACACAATCCAACTCATGAACACTCAGATTTTAGTTTTGTCTTTGAATATTTGGAAGTTTCAATCACTTTATTACTCCAATGAAATTGACCGTTAAAATCAATATTGTAATATCTAAGAACAAAGATTCGAATGTTTAACGTTTTAGATGAGAATACAATGTCTTAATCAGCTAAATTTTATACTCGAGTCGTTGTCGTCATTCAAATAGTGATTAGCCAAAAGCTGTTACGTACCGACATCTTATAAGTCATGTCATATAACGTCGCATCTCGTAGGAAGATTAGTCCTATCATTTCACGATAATTATCGAAAATCGAGATTAGTCCATCTTTGTTGTTGTTGTTCCTCATGTTCTTTGAAAGCCAAAAAGGTTCAATCACATCAAAGCACAGCACAGCCATGGCTGAAACAACTTTTTTTTGCCTTATAAAACACTATAAGTACCCACCACACTTATATCTCTCTTTTTTGCCTTCCTGGTCCCAGCCTTTTGCTGCCAGCCGTGGGCACTACTGAAACCCCCATCATTTTTTTTTTACTAATCTCTTTATGAACGTTTTAACACTACCTTTGAATTAGAGTACAAATCTTTTACGGGTGAGACGAAATTGAGACCTAAAAGGATGTGTTAGTGGTCTCGAACTAAAATTTACAGCTAAAGTTGCAATATTACTCTTAACCTTTTATAAGCGTTTCAAAACTACTCTTAAATTAGAGTATAAAATCCTTTGCATGTTGAACGAAATTACGACTCGAAAGTGTGTGGTAATGATCTCGAAGTTTACAATATTAACTTTGACATTTCAAAAACGTTTCAAAACTACCTTAGTGGGTATAAATCTTTTACAAATTGGACTAAATTGAGACTTGGAAGTGTGTGGCAGTGATCTCGAACTAAAATTTTGATATCCACACAGTTCGATAGGTCACCACTGCCACATAATTTCAAGTCTCAATTTTCGTCGAACATTCTAAGAGGTTTTCGCTCCAAGGGTGAGCAAAACCCGGAAATGATAATTTTGCTTTAATTTTCAACCCCATACTGGAATTTGGTTTTTCACCATGTATGAGGATCCCCTCTAAGCATCCATGATCAAGAAAGCATCCTATGATACACCACTCCAT